GCTGCACCGACCGCTGCCGCAGCCCCGAAGGCTGGGAGGAGCGCGAGGGCCCTCCCCGCGACAAGGCCAGGCTGGGGCTGGACAACCCCGCGCTCTCCTACCCTGATGAGGTGCCCAGCCCTGCCATTCGAGTGGGCTCCCCTCGCCTGCTCCCACACGGTGCCACCCGGCTCTAGCTGCCCTGGGCCACTGCGCCCATGGCTGCCTGGTGTCCACTGTCCCTGTTCAGCTGGTGTCTAATAAATGCTGAGCACCCGCACCCTGGCTGTTGTGTCTCTTTGGCTTCTGCTCCTGCAAACCCTACCAGAGCCACAGCCACAGGGGCCAGACATCCACCATCCACCTCCATGTTCATGCACCACCAGTGCACAGCCGAGGCCCATGCAGGTGCCATGGGAAAATGTCAAATGTGGTGCTGGTGCCAGGGGGCTATGTGCTGACGGTGCCATAACTGAACCCTGCACCCAAAATTTGCAGTCAGCCTGTACCGATGTGCCGCAGGCAGCACCTTCTTCCATCCTCCTCATCCCTGGAGGGCTGAGCCAGCAGGGTCCATGCTCCACTGCTGTGTGCCATGGAAGCAAATCAGTGTGCCAGGCACAGCACGAGGCAGCCAGCAAAGTGCTGCGATGCTGCTGGGCTGGGGCTCAGCGGATGTCGATTCTGTACGGTCACCAGTGTCCCCAGCCTGCCGGATAACCCACGGCCCACAGCAGGAGCCCACCCACTGCAGGGACCCTGGCAGGAGCCCTTTAAGTGCTGGCAACAACCACTTCTCCCACTGCCCACAGATGCTTGGGCTCCTGCCAGTGATATCAGCCTGTTCCTCCCTCCCTCCTTCCCGCCCGCCCTCCTCCTGGGCTGGGACCAGAGGAGCCAGCGGGACCACTGTGGGAGCCGCTTCTGGGCTCCCAGCACCACCTCCCCTGTGCTTGGCCAGGCGACCACCGGCTGGGACGACCTCGGCCTTGCTGCTAGACCGGGTCAGTACGGGAGCGGTGGCGGCTGGGACATCCCCCCAGGGGCTCGGCGATGCCAGGACTGTGCCACAACAGGCAGTGGGGACGGTGAGTGTGGCAAGCACGGCAGGGGGCAGCTCCATGGGGCTTCATCTGCTTGAGGAGCTGGGCCAGCATGGAGCCAGCCAGTGCTCTCCCCAACGT